GAGTTTTATCCATCTCTCCCTAAAATTGTGCCTTCCCAGTTGTACAGTCATACACAACCTCCAAAAGAGATTATAACTGAAGGACCTTTTCCAGCACCGTCAGGCGTAGTGGGCAAATAGGGCTAGACTTTTATTTTATAGATCAATCAGCACTCTGTGGGTGATGCTGTCAACATCATGTCAGCTTCCTTTACTTCCCAGGTCTTTACCTGGAACCCATTTAAGGTTAGGTTGACCTGGGAGCTAAAGTCAATTTTTGACAGAAAAAGTCCAGCTCCATTCGGAAACGAACCCACAACCTCCAAAAGAAAATAACTGGGGCACCCATAATGGCAACAGAAGCCTGATGTAACCTAACCTGCAGTCCTGTGTGGGTACGGATGAGTGTGCGACTTCTTTTCCACAACCAAAGAAAGTAATACAAGGTCAGTGATTCAGTTACACTGAACAGATTAAAGCCAATGTGACGAGACAATGAGGGACTATTGAACAAAGTGCCTAAGTGAAGTGTTTCAATGTTGGGCAAAAATACTAGAGTAAGTGTATATTATTAGAAGGGCATTTAGATAGGACACATTTATAAAACCAGAAAACAATATAACTAGAATGTCTTTGCACTGGAACCCACAGAGGCATAGGAATAGAGGAAGGCCTAAGAACACATGGAGAAGGGAGCTGGAGATTGAAGTAAGAAAGATGGGGAGGACATGGGGAGAGCTGCATGCGACAGCAAAAGATAGAACAACTTGGCATGAGTTGGTCGAGGGCCTATGCTCCACTGGGAGCTAGAAGAAGAAGAGTCAGAAGGGCACAACTCTGAAGGAGGTAAAACCCACTTACTGGCAGATCTATTAGCTTAAGGGAGAAAGATAAAACAATAATTCCCCCTGAAATTAATGATCAGCCCTCTTAAAATGTAAGTGCAGAAACATCTCACATTATGAAACCCTGAAATGGGTTTTCACACAAACAGCAACATTACATAAACAATGGCATTTCAGTGTTTGCACACATTCAAGTGATATAAATACAAGAAAGCTAAGTGAACATGAATGACTCTTTGGATCCGGTACAACAATAATAATATCTAAGCAAAATGAAGCAGTTTCAAAGGCCTAACTTGAGCAGCAGCAGTTTACATAAGTTTGTCGATTGAAAACATATTTTTCCATGAACTGAAGATTCAATGATAGCTCTGTGTCCTAATGTTGGGTGCAGTTTTGTTGCTGTTTTAAAGCCCCACCCTGGCTGTTGCCGGGGGCACTAATATAACCCAACCTATGGGTTGAGCAGGGTTTCTGGGACCTGTCCCCATGTGATCCTCATCCCAATGGTGGTACTTTGTGTCCCTGGGTGTTTATCGCTTGTTGTGCAGTCGTGGGTGGGTGGAATGTCATCATCAACAATTTAAGATACTGTTTACTGTCTTGTGGTTGCATGGGCCAGAATTCTACATAACTCCTTTTCCTTTCTCGGAGACTTCTGATATCCCTGTTCTGAGGCTGTGTCAGCTCTATAGATGTCTTCTTCTTCTCTTCCACCTTGTACCTCATCGAAGATGTAACATTCGTTGATGAGCTCTGTCAAGAGCACTATTAAGACTAATGTTCATTTCTGTAAGGCTGTTCTTAATGCCATCACTCCATATTTTACAAGGTCTTCCACTCGCTCTATAACCGTTGTAACGTTTTAGTGTGGCTCGCTGTGGCAGATAGTATCAGGGAATTCTTGTAAGGTGTCCTAACCACTTCATTTGTTGTTCTTTGATGTAGAGATGTACTAGTTGGAAACACATTCCTCCACCATTATCATTAAGTTCCATCTGTGAAGTGAAGTTTGGTCCTCTTTGATTTTCAGCAGTTCTGACCTGAGCCGTTATTATAACCTGCATTGCTGTAATTGTCCATATGTTGATGTTAACAATCATGATACCCTCAAGCTATTTTAACCTGAAGCTCTCACTTCACTGTGTTTTTCTGTAGCTTGTTTTGCTGTTTGTAAAGATCAAATCACTTCACCTTTCTTAATTTTCTCCCCCTATTATGTAGTTCTAAGAAATGGCTTTTTTTCCATCCAGAAATCTCACCAAAGTCTTCTGAGGACTCTCATTTTCAAAGCATCAATTATGATACTCTACATTTTTTAGCCAAGATCTTTCTCCCAGCCCACAATGTGACAAGGTAAATGCTTAAAACTTGAAATGTCATTCTTTGAAAGCTGTGTTCTCAATAATATACATATTCAACATCAACAGTACTTCAAAAGTATCAATCAACCTGATAAATCATAGCATTAGCAGTAAGGTGACCTGATGTATTCTGTAATGTCTTTGCAGTACACTGGGTCATAATGAAAAAAACATTCTATAACATATGTAGGCAAAGTTATAAATAATGAAAGCCGGATTAGTTCTGTTACTTATAACTGAAGTATTATGCATTAACATCTATAATCTTCTTTTTCTTCTTCTAAGCATTCACCAACTGTAAACTCGAGTGGAAACTTCTAGTTTGGCATCCACTTTTTTTTTACTTTAGTCTTAGTCCGGATATTGAGTTAAGCCTGTACATCCATTTAACAAATCTGGCTTATTTGTATGCAGACTGCTGTTTATCCGCTTCTCAACGAGACAAAATCAAATGAAAAATGAATGAAACATTATCATTACTGAATATGTTAACAAAAGTATTATAGTAAAATATTTCACTAAAATTCCCTATACTAAACGTAAAATAAAACAACAAAACTTGGAGAAGGAAAATAGGCATGTCAATATTAAACTAGGCACAGACTTCTGCTGTTGTGTCACTCATGACAATATTTTTGTAACTGACTTGAGTTTTGTCACTTATAGGGTTGAAGCTAATGATAGAGCATCCATACTCCAGTCTTTAGTGGGTGCTCTAAGATTTGTGCTCATGAACTGTTAACTGCATGTCACTTATAGGGTTGAAGCTAATGATAGAGCATCCGTACTCCAGTCTTTAGTGGGTGCTCTAAGATTTGTGCTCATGAACTGTTAACTGCATGTCACTTATAGGGTTGAAGCTAATGATAGAGCATCCGTACTCCAGTCTTTAGTGGGTGCTCGAAGATTTGTGCTCATGAACTGTTAACTGCATGTCACTTATAGGGTTGAAGCTAATGATAGAGCATCCGTACTCCAGTCTTTAGTGGATGCTCGAAGATTTGTGCTCATGAACTGTTAACTGCATGTCACTTAGAGGGTTGAAGCTAATGATAGAGCATCAGTACTCCAGTCTTTAGTGGATGCTCGAAGATTTGTGCTCATGAACTGTTAACTGCATGTCACTTATAGGCTTGAAGCTAATGATAGAGCATCCGTACTCCAGTCTTTAGTGGATGCTCTAAGATTTGTGCTCATGAACTGTTAACTGCATGTCACTTATAGGGTTGAAGCTAATGATAGAGCATCCGTACTCCAGTCTTTAGTGGATGCTCTAAGATTTGTGCTCATGAACTGTTAACTGCATGTAAAGCAAGAATGCCTCAGCTCTCTAAGTCCCGGGGGCTTGGCAACACACGCCCAAGGGATAGAAAACAGAGACATCAAATCATCATGCGCTACTTGGACTTCTAGGGAGGAACCTATGAACGTATGATGCGTTCTTTGGGACAAAGAATTAATAACTGCAAACAATTTTTTTTTTAATCCGTATATTTCCCATGTACTTTTTGTCATCTTCAGAAGCTGAAGCAAATAACAGTGCCTATATTTCAGCATTTAGAGGCTGCTCTGAGTTTTGTCTTTAAGAGCAATTCACTGCACTGCAAGAGTGCCTTGAGAATGCCACTGCTGTACTAGAGCATGCAAGCAATGTTAACAAGGTTAAAGTGACTAGTGACACATTTCTCAAAATTGCCTTGCACCCTGTTGCTTTTTTTTAAAAAGTGGAAGCAAAAAATGAGAAAGGCTGCAGGAGTAACCAGAAGAGGTCAAATTAAGGATGAAGCTATAAGAGAAAACGTTGGCATAGAACATTAACTAAACTATAAACAAAGGTCAAAAAAAGGATAATGCTATATATAAGATTAAACGTCGGCATAGAACATTAACTAAACTATAAACAAAGGTCAAAAAAAGGATAATGCTATATATAAGATTAAACGTCGGCATAGAAAATTAACTAAACTATAAACAAAGACATGGTTTGTTCACTTAGAATGTCTTGTGACACCATGTCATACAAAACATATACCAAAAGAGGAGATGGATGTAGAGCAAGCGGTTAACCAAGAACAAGATGGAAACATCAGGAAAATTCTACAACAGGATAATGTATCTTTGATTGAGGGTGCCAGAAGAGCAGGAACTAGGTCCTTATATCTCCCTCAACCCTTGAAGAGATAAAAGGAAGTAAAGAAGAAGCAAATGATAAAAGTGTTCACATTTCAGTGTTTAGTGGGAGTCATAAAAGAAAGAGTTGCCACAGAACGCAGGCTAAACTACACACAGCAAAATAAAATGGTTTGCCCACTTTAGAGATAATACCCCTCTGTGTTCATGTAACCAAACAGTGCCTTAAAAATGCCTTTGCACCAAACTAAGAAAGCAATGTTAACACTACAGGTTGCAGCCTTCTTCTTCTTCTCATCCACCTATGACCTCAGCGAAGTGTCAGGGGGAGATGTAATGTTCGTTGATGAGCTCTGTCAAGAGCACTATTAAGACTGATGTTCATTTCTGTAATGCTGTTCTTAATGCCATCACTCCATATTTTACAAGGTCTTCTGCTCACTCTATACCCTGTATATACAGGTTGCAGTCACTGATGATAAATACAGAGCCAACAATAACTGTGCATACAATGTGCAAGGAATTTAAAATGTGTATTCTGAGCAGATAAAATTATATTATATCAGTACTCCCAACTTCTAATGAAGCCAGACAAGGACAATGAAGCGATCACTTCCTGGTGCATGTTTGGTGACTAGCTGATCACATTCAAGTCCACAAATAAAATTCATTTACAGGTGGGTCAGTGCCGTTTCTTCTTGCGGCGGCTTTTTTTGGCTGATGCTGCTGATGCTTCATGTGTCCATCCTGGTGCCGATGATCTTTCACTTCCTGGGTGAGAGGTGCCCCAGGAAGATCTGCCATTTGGTGTAGCACTTGATTTAAATAACTGGTTGATGAGGTCTTCCAAGTCAGGGTCCCTATTAAAAAAAAAAATTACTGAAATATTTTTTATGTCTTTGTGCTGGAATCAAATATTAACTCCTTCGGTACCAGGCATATATTATTAAGCTTATTCAATCCATCCCAGATAGTTCTTCTTCTTCTTCCTTACTGCCTCCAGTTACTCCACTGAAGTGTTGAGGGAAATGTAAGGATTTTCTATGTTCTCTTTCCAAAGCATTGTATAAATTGGTGTTCATTTCTGTAAGGCTGTTATAGATACTGTCGTTCCTTATTCTGCAAGGTATTAACCCTGCTCTGTGACCATTATATCTCATATGTTGCTCTTAATAAACTGTTTGATCGGTGTCAGTACTAGCCTTCTAATTTCATTTCAATCTCTTTTAAAACATTAGCATTATAAAAAGGAAGGAGTCAAGAAAAGAACTGGTGCAGAGTTGGATAGTGCAACAAATGAATGTGGCATGAAGGGTGAAGATAAATGTATGATACTACAACATCCGGTTTGAGAATGGAGGTTGAGGCAGTCACAGCAGCTATCCGCTGACTTGAGAACCATGTGCACACACATGTCATGATTGTAACTGACTTATAAAGCATGTTAAGAAAGGTGGAGACAGGTTTGTTACACACAAAATGGCAAGTATTGCTTCAGAGTTCCTGGGCAGTTTGCATTCTTTGGTGTAAGCAAGAGTGTTCGGAAATAAACAGGCATATGGAATGGCCGGTTCTTCACCAATGGGTGGCTGGCAAATTTATACATTTCAAGCTAAACGTGGTCAAGGTCCTGTGTGAGCAAGTGAACAATGGGGAAGCATGAACAGATAGGTCCTTAAGGTATGGAGAGAATGATACAGCTGGGAATCACCAAGTGATGTGGTCAACACTCTACGCTCTGAGGAAAGGCTAGATAAACATATAACCAAACCGCTAGTGGTACCATCAAAACTGAAACTCTTCGCTGGCTGCTGAAGATGAGGACAGAGAGCTTATGATAATTTCTCGATTGCCGTGATGAAAATCCTTAGCTCAACACTCGACAGATAAATGTATCATGTAAGTAGAAAGCAACAAATGCATGGTGAGCTTAGCAGTGAGCGAGTTAATGAGTTAAACATATGATTAATCTTCTTGTTTCCCCCCTATTTTTTGGCCGACATCTGTTCTCTTACACAATGATAGGTAGCTGAGCTAGGGCAGTCTAGACTGCTTGTTAGGCTGTGAAGTCCTAGGTGGTCAGTGATACTTTCAATTCACCTTCACCTAGCCTAGTGTCTCCCAAACTGTTTTCTGTGCCATGCCTGACCTAAACCTTTCAAAACTCTTATGCTCCCTTTGTAACGCAAACCCTGGATAAGTCCGCTTTCAAATCCCCCCCCCCCCCCTTTTTTTGTGGGGCATGGGCCCCATGCTGAAAAAACACTGAAGTAGCCTCTTGGTGTTTCCATTTTCATGTTGTATTCTAGCTGCCAGCTTCATTAGAGTGATTCTCATTAGGTAGCCTAGCTACTGCAACAGTGAGAAGGAAAGCAGGCAGACAAGAAACCAAGAGAGGCAATGCTGTACAGGCTCACATCATGGCATGGAAGACCATCTGTGTAAGAAGTGACTGAAAGTACTCAAATAGAAGGTTGTGGCAGACAAAACTATCAATGCCACATGGTATGGACTCTAATCCATTTTCATCTAGTCTCTTGGTGTTTCCATTTTCGTGGTGTATTCTCACTACCAGCCTCATTAGATTCATCCTCATTAGGGAGCCTAACCATTACAGTCTTTGTTTCTCAATAAATCATGAGTATTGTTCCTACAGTTCTTCTAATGTCTGTATTTCTCAGATGTCTTCTGGTTTATATATACTTCTTCTTCTTCACATTCACTGGCTAAACTCTGGCAAAAAGTCCTGGCTGTTCATCCACTTCTGGACTTCGGTTTTGTTCCAGGACTTGAGTGTAGTGTGCACATCCATTTTACAGATCTGACTTGTCTGTATGCAGACTTTGGTTCCTCACTTCGCAAGCAGATGCACTGCGAGTTGGAAGGAAACACCTAATTTATCACCTTTTACAACAGGGTTGTTGATCGAGTGGTTAAGAACACCAGACTCTCATTTGGGAGACTAAGACTAAATACTCGGTAAGGTGATAGATGTTTGCTCGACCACAAAATAAAAACAGAACCTGTACAGTGCATAGCAACAGCACTAGCCATGTGGCTAGTGGACCCCTTCCTCCACCATTAAAAAAAAAAAAAAAGGGAATGAAGAATTATTTTTTTAAATTTATAAATTCTTGTAAATTTTTTCTTACCCTTGCTGGTTTCTGCTTCTGCGATTACTTTCCGAAGCTATCTTATACGTAACTGTATGAGAATTAGCCTTCATATGGCGAAAATACTCCTTCTGTAACAAACATTTAAAAAAAAAAAAAGAGTTAAATTAATTTTCCACAACTAGAGTCGGGTAAATATTGCACTGATTTATTGGAGCACATGGATGTAACCAGAGGTCTGGCTGGCTCACTACACTCAGAAGAAAGGCAAGACGGACACATAACCAGATTGTGACTGGTAACAGCAGTATTGGAACTCCGCACTGGCTGCTGAAGATGAGGACAAAGCACACATGGGAATGCCCCGAGTGCTGTGATGTCAAGTCTTGACTCAACTTATCTGATTTACTGGAACAGTGATCAGTATCAATTCTCCTGTTAACTAGAGTTTAGTTGAGTTGGCATTTCAGATATTTCCACAAGCAATCTGTCCTCATCTTTAGTAGCCAGTTCGGAATTCTAGTTTCAATGTTACCGGTTGTCAGACACCTTTTATAGGTGTGACACAAGTACAATTGTTATTTGTGCCAGGTGTACCCACACTTCCATGAACATGTAAACGCTGATGACCTTGTTCCAGTTCTTAAATAATGTTTATTTAAGAAACTCTTGATAACTGCAAAGTTAGTATGTCTATTTAAGAACTCATGATAATTGCAAAGTTAGTATGGCTTCCGCACAACGTTATCGACTACTGAGTAGCCACATATTTTATTCATATGTTTCATAAGCACACTAATCTCAGGTAGTCACTGACTAAATACATCAACAGTACGCTGGTATAGCTGATCACAAACTCATCCTCGCAATATGAACAAAGTCATGAGAGGCTAGCTGATGCCTCTATAGCAATAATTCCGTATCCTCCTAACTACTACACTTAACTTTATAATCCGGCTTTATACCACAGAAACACTTATCACCAGTATGAATAACCACTACTGTTCTGTTCACAGTTTTAAATCCAGTCCATTCCAAGCGAAAAACAATTTCCACCTTTTAAAAGGGCCCCAAACAAACACATCCGTTCACTGGACAGTCCAACTACTAACTGCCGTGTGTCCCTCTACCTGTTTGTCCAGTCCCCGTGTAACCTCCCCACTCAGTTACCTGTTTCGCCGTGCGGGTCTACACACAAGCCGTCTGACCAGTAATTGACCTGTCTGCTGTTATGAGTCAGTCTAGTCGTTGTTTGTCTTTATCTCACAGTGTGTGGTAAAGTTGACTCATGACAGTTTCACCCCCGCTTTTCAAAATGATACTATGTATCATTTCTGTTCATGGTTCGTTATTGTACCCTGTGTTATGTTCTTTTGGTGCTACTCGTGTGTAAATCTCTAGATAGATTGTCTGGTCACCTTGCATGTATCATGTCATTACCATTTTCTATCTATACTAGTATAAATCCTGGATTTATGAAGGTCCTAACACATTTCTGATGCTAACCCATGCTATTCATTGTACCGCATAACATCATCTGGTTGAAGGTTGTTTCCTTAATCGCCCGTGTCTTTTGCCCCTTTATCCAGGCTAGTTACCCTGCCTACTTTTGGTTTGCCGTATGTACTAAGTATGTCTTTACTCTTAGGCCGTTACAGCCCCATCATGATCATATGATAATTGATAATACCTCTCTCCTAATCTTCTGCAACAGAGGGGTTTGTAGACAAAAGAATATTCATGAGTTAATTACTGTAAGTATTATCAAAAGCCTTTCATTCATATTCCATGTATTCAACAGACAGCCATTCATCCTTCTTTTTCTTTTCTTTTCTTTTTTTTTTTTTTTTTTTTTTTTTTTTTTTTTTTTTTTGATTTTTAAATAAAAAAAAATTGTATTTCTTGTTTTCATGTCATGCATCTGTTTAAAGACGTGACAGGATGTCAGCCAGGGCATTATTTATGCCACTGATGTGGACTAATTCAAAGCTGTAGTTCTGCAAAAGTAGACTCCATCTGTAAATACGATGATTCTTCGGTGTTCCTTCTTTAAAGACTGTCAGTGGTTTGTTGTCTGTCTGTACTATAAACTTCCTGCCAAGCAAATATTTTGCAAATTTCGTAACTCCCACCACAAGAGAAAGTGCTTCAAGTTCTACTGTGGCGTAACGTTTCTCTGCTTCTGACAGCTTCCGACTGGAGTAAAGTACTGGGTGGAGAATGTTCTCATGTTCCTGTAATAAAATACATGATATGGAATACCCACTTGCATCGCACTGTAAGATGAAGGGTTTTTCGAGGTCAGGTAACTTTAAGATTGGTGATTTCGAGAAAGCTGTTTTGATATTGGTCAGAATTTGTTCCAGCTGCGGGGTCCATGCTATCTTTGTAGGCAATCCCTTCTTAACGAGTGAAGATAATGCTGCTGTCATGCCAGCAAAGTCAGGTAGAAATTTATTGTAATAGTTTATCAGTCCCAGCATTGATCGAACTTGCTTTTTTGTTGTTGGGGCTTTAATATCCAATATTTTTGAAATAATTTTGTCATCTGTTTGTAAGAATCCATTGCCGATCTTGTGACCCAGGAAATCAATTTTTGTGAACCCGATTTCTACTTTACTGGGTTTTACTTTCAAGCCGAATTCTCTTAATCTCTTAAATACCCCACATTTTTCCAATTCAGATATTTCAGCCTCTACTTGTTTTTGATAGTGCAGCGGAATGGGATATGGTTTTGTCTTAACTGGTATTTCTGTTGTGAGTCTTATGTGATGTTTGATTACCGATGTGCTGCCTGGCGTATCTGAAAAGATGTCATGGAACTGTTGAAGGATCTTCATTAGTAGTGCTCTATCCTCATGAGGAATTTCGCTGTTGACTTTAATATCTTTCCACGACGATTCGACTGTTGTTGAAGGTGTAGGAATTTGGTCAGTTATAGTGTCTTCCTGTTGCTCATTGATGGTTAAGGCTAAAGACGCAATATGCTCATTTATATGCCTGGGGGGTTGTAGCTCATCTCGAATCTTAAATGGCTTTAGCATGTTAATGTGGAAGATTTTTGGCTTGCCTTTCACCAGTATCTCGTAATCCACATCCGAAATTTTTTTTGTTACCTTGTATGGACCTTGCCATGATACTGACAGTTTATCAGATGGAAGTGGTAATAGTAAAAGCACTTCTTCTTCTTCTTTTAAGGCAACTGTCTTAGCATTTCTATTTGCATATTGTCTGTACACAGTACCCGAGGTTTCAAGGGCCTGTTTTGCAGCCATGCAGGACTTTATAATCCTCTCCCGTAAACTGATGACCATATTATAAGCATCTATGGTTGGCTGGTCTTCAACTTTCCCCGTAATTAGTTCTTTATAAATTTGCAATGGTCCACGGGGGTTGGCTCCATATACCAACTCAAATGGGGAATGTCCTGTACTACTCTGCGGCACCTCTCTATAGGCGAACAGGATGGCTGGTAGAAATATGTCCCAGTCTGCGGGGCGTTCAGCTGAAATTTTTGCCAACATTCGTTTCAATGTACCATTTAAGTTTTCTACAATACCATTTGTCTGTGGGTGGCATGGACTCGCAAATTGCTGTTTAATACCCATCATTTTAGTGACTGCTTGTGTGGCAGCAGAGATAAATTGTGTTCCTCTGTCGGATAGAATTGTTCTAGGGAAGCCGATTCTTGAGAAAATGTGTATGAAGGCTTCTACAATAGCCTCAGCTGTAATATTTCGAAGCGGAATCGCTTCAGGCCATCTGGTACACAGATCTATTACTGTAAGGATATATCTGTTTCCCTTGTTTGAGGTAACATTTAATGGTCCGATTATGTCCACTGCAATTTTTTGAAATGGTCTAGATGCTAAGTCAGTCACCTGGATATGAGCCTTTGGGTTTTTTTCCTTTCTGTGACTGTTTTTGACAAATCTCACAGGTACGAACAAATGTTTTTGTGTCCTTGCTGTACCCTGGCCAGTAGAACTGCCCCAGGATTCTTGATTTTGTTTTAGCCGTTCCCATATGACCAGAAAACGGCGCATCATGTGCCATTTCTAGTACTTTTTTGCGAAACTGTTCCGGCAGCACCGTTTGTGATACTGTCATCGTTCCTTTTTTATACACCCTTGCCAAGATATCCTTTTTCAGTGTAAACCACCATCTACCAGACTTTGAAATTCTAGGCTTTTCATTTACGAGGTTGAAACATTTCTTTAATGTGGGGTCCGTCCTCTGGAGTTCTGAAAATGAGGGTTGACCACCTGCTGGGGTTTCCATGTTAGGGATGCTGATGGATTGAATCAGATATGTCTGTGCTTTATCTTCTTGTTTTTGCGTTTGCTGTCTTGTGACAGCATTTACGTTAGGAAACTGTTCCTCCCAGTTTTTGATTGCTAACTCATCATCAGTATTTACATTTGGTACATTACCAATGAGTATTCCGGCACATGGCGCGGGCAGTACTGCTGCCTTTGTTATGCCGGTGTAAAAGGGGCAATTTATTTTTACAAGAGCTACCTTATATCTTTCCTTATTACCTCCAAAAGTTCTGCACACAATGTGCTCTCCTGTATAGTCTTTCTCTTGCACTAATGCTCTGTGTACACCAATTAGTGTCGCGCCTGTATCTCGGATTACTGTGCAAGGTATACTGTTAGCGAATCCTCTGAAGTAGCGCAAGGATCCACTGGTCATGTTAGCCGAGTGTGCTTCTTGAATTGGCACACTGTGTCCGCAAGTTAGATTCCCATCTTCATGGAATTCTTTGCATATCTTGCAGTTTTCGATCCCCAGTTCAGCAATCTCTTGGACTGAGTTGGCTATTAAGTCTTCTTCCGATTCACTGCTTGATGAATTCAGGACCATATTAGCCTCTCTTATTATACTTCTTGCATGGCAGTCCCTGCGTATATGGCCAAATGCCCCACATTTAAAGCACTGTAGGTTTGTGGCATACCTTGTTACCTTAGATTGTTGTTTTTGGACAAAATCTCGTAGATACTTCATGTAATTTGGGTTTTTATCACACATATCTAAGCTACCATGCTTGTGATTGCAGTGTGAACATGTTATTAGAGTTCCTCGTTTTGCTACTGGGTGTCGTGCTTTTCTCTGATATGTGCTATCG